CAGCAGCTTCAGAGAGGCCCCCAGCAGCAGCAGCAGCTTCAGAGAGGCCCCCAGCAGCAGCAGCTTCAGAGGGGCCCCCAGCAGCAGCAGCTTCAGAGAGGCCCCCAGCAGCAGCAGCTTCAGAGGGGCCCTCGACAGCAGGTTCAGAAGGGCCCCCAGCAGCAGCAGCAGCTTCAGAGAGGCCCCCAGCAGCAGCAGGTTCAGAAGGGCCCTCGGCAGCTGCAGCTTCAGAGCGGCCCCCAGCAGCAGCAGCAGCAGCAGCAGCAGCTTCAGAGCGGCCCCCAGCAGCAGGTTCGGAAGGGCCCCCAGCAGCAGGTTCAGGGGGGCCCCCTGCAGCAACTCCAGGGCCCCCCCCAGCAGCAGCAGGTTCACGGGGCCCCCCAGCAGCAGGTTTGGGGGGGGCCCCAGCAGCAGGTTCAGGGGGGCCTCGCGCTGCAGCTTTAATTGATGCGTGCATAGTACAAGGGGGCCCCCCTTCTGCTGCTGCTGCTGCACTGGAGCCTCAAGGTTTAAATGAAGGGCCCCCAAGCAATTTAGGGGGCCCCCCTTGTTCTGAATCTCCTTCAGGTAGAGGGTGGGGGCCCCTGTTGTACGGCAGAAGTGAGGGCCCCCCCAGGGGGTTGTTGGGGGCCCCTCTTCTTCTTCCTAACAGAAAAGTTCATAGTACACAACAGGGGCCCCCTGGAAGCAGCAGCAGCAGCAGCAGCAGCAGCGAGGGGGGGGGCCCTCTACAAGAGAAGGGGGGCCCTCCTGAACAAGAGGAGGGGGCCCCCTTAGATGAAGGGGGCCTCCCTATACAAACTGAGGGGCCCCCCCTTCTATCTTCTGCTCTGCACAGCAGCACCTCTGTATCATCTCTTCCTTTAGGGGGCCCCCCCTCCTCCTCAACAATAAATCTAATAGAAACTTCACATCTTAGGGCCCCCTCTTCTAACCTCCAGGGGGCCCCTCAACTCCAGGGGGCCCCCCAACCCCAGGGGGCCCCTCATACAGAGGAGGGCCCCCACCATATGGGGGCCCCCCAACCCCAAGGGGCCCCCCAGCCTGAGGGGGCCCCCCATCCTGAGGGGGCCCCCCATCCTGAGGGGGGCCCCCATCCTGAGGGGGCCCCCCATTCTGAGGGGGCCCCCCAGCCTGAAGAGGCCCCCCAGCCTGTGGGGGGCCCCCAACATGAGGGGGGCCCCCTGCACCGCAGCCCTCATTTGTCGTTATCTGGTGGTTTCGTTCCTTCTCTAAATGCTGCTGCTGCAGAGGCTTCAGACCCGCAGCAGCAAATATATCAAACCAGGGGTCCTCAGGGGCCCCCTCTCTCCCCTCAACCCAACAGCAACGGCAGCAGCAGCAGCAACAGCAGCAACAAGGAAACGATGGAGGTCTCTGGGGCCCCTGAAGCGCTGGGAGCCTCAGAGTTTGAGGCGACACAGGGGGCCCCCCAACCTCCTGTACCCCTACAGGCTCTGGGGGCTTCGGGGGCCCCCCGTACTCCTGAGGTCTTGGGGCCCCCGGGGGCCCCTCAAGCGTTTGCTGTGGGTTCGACTGCCTTCGATCCAGTGTTAACCTCAACAACACCCTCCAGGGGGCCCCTTGTGGGGCCCCAGGGGGCCCCCGAGGTACCTCCAAGAGGGGGCCCCCAGGGGCCCCAGGGGGGGCCCCAGGTGCCTCCAATAGGGGGCCCTCAGGGGCCCCAGGGGGGCCCCCACTGGGAGGATGTTGTTGAGGCAGCAGACGATGAAAAGGAGCTAACAACGCCTTACATTGCTCCAGGGGGGGCCCCCCTTGCAGGGGCCCCCCATGAGGGGGCCCCTGAGCAGCAAAGGTTGTTGGGGTCTGGAGATAGTGAGGGGGCCTCCGGGTCTGAAGGTGTACTGGGGGCCCCTCCTTTGGAAGAAGCAGCAGCAGCAGCAGCTGCTGCTGCAGCAGCAGCAGCAGCTGCTGCTGCTGCTGCTACGCCCCACCTGAGCGAACAGCAAGGACAAACAGAGAAAACCTTCAAGGGGGCCCCCCAAGAGAGGCCCCTGACATCAAAGGAGCGGGCCCCCGCTGCAGGGGGCCCCCTGGAAGCCCGTGAAGTAGGGTACCAGGGGGGCCCCCCGAGTGCAGATGTTGCTGCTGTTGGGGGGCCCCCCGAGCGCATGCAGAGCCGTAAATCAAAACAAAGAGGGAGGGGCCCCCCCCCCTTCGAAGACTCCAGCGACAGCAGCGGTATTCACAGTGCAGCTGACGATATTCAGGGGGGCCCCCCTACGAGACCCTTAGAGGGGGGCCCCCAGGAGCCCTTGGGGGCCCCTATGTTGGGGGTGTTGAGGCTCCCCTCAGCCTCTAGAGTGCCGCGCCTGAGGGTAGGTAGCAGGGGTAGCACCACTGCTGCCGTCAGCCAGCAGCAGCTGCTGCAAGAGCAAGCGGAGGAGCAGCACCAGCAACAACAAGCGGAACAGCAGCAGCAACAGCAAATGGAGCAGCAGCAGCAGCACCAAGCGGAGCAACAGCAGCAACAAACGGAGCAGCAGCAGCAGCAGCAGCTTCTCCTGCGGGAGGAGGAGCAGCAACAAAAAACGATGCAGCAGCAGCAACAGCAACACGAGCACGTGCAGCAGCAGCAGCAGCAGCAGCAGCAGCAACAGCAGCAACCGCAGCAGCAAGGGACTGCCCCAAGCGTGAGGGGAGTTTTCGCAAGCCTCTGGAGTCGCCTCCGCTGGGGACCGGGCGAAGGGCAGGAGCAGCAGCAGCAGCAACAGCAGCAGCAACAGCAACAGCAGCAGCAGCAGCAACACCAGCAGGGAGAGCCTCACCACCTTCGCCGCCCCAGGCGTGTAAGCGGAGTCTTTGCGCAGCTTAAGGGAGACCCCAAGCTGCTGCAGCAGCAGCAGCAGAAGGAGCAGCAGCAGCAGCAGAAGGAGCAGCAGCACCAACAACAGCAGCTTGGGGAGCAGCACGTGCAGGAGCAGCAACAGAAGGAGCAGCAGCAGCAACAGATTCAGGAGAAGCACCATGAGGAGCAGCAGCAGCACACGCTTCAACAACAACAACACCAGCAGCAGCAGCAGGATCAGCAGCAGCAGCAACCGCAGCAGCAGGAGCAGCTGCACGAGGGGAAGCATTACCAGCAGCAGCAGCAGCAACAACAACAGCACCAGCGAGCTCTTCATGAAGAGACAACGGGCTGGAATGAACAAGCAGCAGCAGCAGCAGCAGCAGCAGCTCCTGCAACGTTTTCCCCTGGCAGCCGCGCCTTAGCACGTCGCCGAGTCCGGGGCCCTCTTCCGCAGCAGCAGCAGAAGCACAAGCAGCAAGAGGTGCAGCAGCAGCAAGAAAGGGAGCCCACTGAGCGTCCCGAGGCAACTGCAGCAGCAGAGCGGCAGCCAGGGCTGCTGCCTGCTGCTGCTGCTGCAGCAGTTGCTGCTGAGCATCCGCCCCGTAGGAGGGTCTCTCGTCCGCGCAGCATTAGACAGCAGCAGCAGCAGCAGCAAGAAGACCAACAGCAGCAGCAACAGCTGCAGCAACAGCAGCAGCAGGAAAAACTGCAGCAGCAAGAGCCCGAAGGAACAGCAGAGGGCAGTACTACCACCAGGAGCAGCAGCAGCAGCAGCAGCAGCAGCAGCAGCAGCAGCAGCACCTGGTTTAGGTTTTTGGGGTCTGGTTCGTTCAAGGGGGAGACCGAGAATTTTATCATCGTGTTGCCTTCGCATGCAGATGGTAATTGCATCTGCTGCTGCTGCTGCTGCTGCTGCTTTTGCGATTGCTGTTGCTGCATGCTTTGCTGCTGGTTCTGCTGCAGTTGCAGCTGCTTCTGGAGTGCTGCTGTTGCTGTTGCTGTTCCTGCATGTAGCATCGCCTGTGCTGAGATCCTATGGTGTGTCGCTGCTGCTGCTGTTGTTGCTGCTGCAGTATCTGCGGCAGCAGTATCGGCCTCTCTGTCTTCTGCTGCGGGGTTTGCTGCTGCTGCTGCTGCTGCTGCTCTTCATCGGGTTCGTCCAGGGGTTTTTCGAGTCTCCTTCCGCTCCCCAGAAGATGCATGTAAGCCCGCAACTTTGCTGCTGCTGTTGCTGCTGCTGCTGCTGTTGCTGTTGCTGCTGCTGTTGCTGGTGCAATTGTTGCTGCTGTCGATGCTGCTGTTGCAGTTGTTGCTGCTGCTGCTGCTGTTTTTGCTGGTGTTGCTGCTGCTGGTGGTGCTGTTTCAACTGTTGCTGCTGCACTTTTTGCTGCTGCTGTTACCGCTTATGCTGGCGTCGTCTCTCATGGTTTTCAATGCTGTGCTGCTGCTGCTGCTGCTGTTGCTGCTGCTGCTGCTGCTGCTGCTGCAGATGCTATTCTACCTCTGAGCGCCCCTTATCGCGTGTTAGAGAACCCAGAGGGGAGTTCGATGTTGCTGCTGCACCCGCTTTCTTCTGCTGCAGCAGCAGCAGCAGCAGCGGCATGGGGCTCATCTCTCAGAGATGGCGGCTCAGCAGAAACAGCCGCAGCAGCAGCAGCTGCTGCTGCAGCAGCAGAAACAGGAGACAGCCCAGCAAAAGGCAAACCTTCTGCTGCTGCTTCGCTGCAGCTGCCTCTTCACCTTCGCAGCACTGAGCAGAGACAGACGAAAATGCCGGCGGCCCTGAGACACCGTAGGGCTTAGGGTTTAGGGTTTAGGGTTTAGGGTTTAGGGTTTAGGCTGTTGAGCGGTTTAGGGAATAGAGGCTTTAGGGTTTAGGTTTGAGGGGTTTGGGTTTGAAAGGGCTGGAGAGGTTAGGGTTTGGGGTTGGGTCGCCAGAGTTTAGGGTTTAGGGTTTAGGGTTTAGGGTTTAGGGTTTGCGGTGTTGTTTGTTTTAGCCCGCCGCCTGTGCGTCTCATTCCCCTCTTCGACTTCTAACGGACACTCAGCAGCAGCAGCAGCAGCAGATGCAGCAGCAGCAGCAGATAATGCAGCAGCTGCTTCAGCAGGGGATGCATCAGCAGTAGCAGCGGCAGATGCTGCAGCAGCTGGTGCAGCAAGAGATACAGCAGCAGCAGCAGCAGGTGCTGCTGCTGCAGGTGAGTCTCGGCTTATGCTGCGGGGTCTCTCTGCTTCTTCTTTTTGTCTATTCCCTGTCCTTGCTGCTGCAGCACCACCGCCAGAAGATCTGCTGTTTTATACAGCCCATGAGGAAACACTCAACCCAACAGCAGCAGCAGCAGCAGCAGCAGCAGCAGCAGCCGCAGAAGCAGCAGAAGCAGAAGCAGAAGTAGCAGAAACTGCAGCAACCGCTGCAGCCGCTGCAGCAGCGGAAACTGCAGGAGCAGCAACAGGAGCAACAGGAGCAGCAGGAATAGAAGCAGTAGCAGCTGCAGAAGCAGCAGCAGCAACAGCAGCAAAAGAAGCAGCAGCAGCAGCAGGAGCAGGAGCAGAAGCAGCAACAGCATTAGCGGAAGCAGCAGCTGCAGCAGCAGAAGCGGACGCAGCAGCAGCAGGAGCCGAAGCAGCAGCTGCAGCAGCAGAAGCGGCAGCAGCAGCAACAGCAGCAGCAGCAGCAACAGCAGCAGCAGCAGCAACAGCAGCAGGAGCTGTAGCAGTGCGTTGTTATCCCCTGGGCCTGGAGAGCGCCTCTGCTGCTGCGTATTTAATAGAGAAGTTCCTGCCTCTGTTCGCTGCAGCAGCAGCAGCAGCTGCTGCTGCTGCTGCTACGCCCATCTGCATCGCCTGGATGCCTCAAGAGCACAACAAATTTATGCATATTATTTCTTCGTCTTCTTCTTCTGTCTCCCTGCTACCTCTTTGGACTCCTACTGCACAGCAGCCAAACGCGAGCAGCCCTGCTGCTGCGGGCGCAGCTGCAGCAGCAGCAGCACCAGCAGCAGCAGCAGCAGCAACAAGAGAGCCCCCCGTTTTGCTTCGGCCTCCCAAGCGTCCGTGGGATATTTATTTCGCGCTGCTGCCTGGGTGTGAGCAGCAGCAGCAGCAACAGCAACGCGACACTGCAGCAGCAGCAGCAGCAGCAGCAGCTGCTGCTGCTGCTGCTGCTGCTAGTGTGGATATGCTGAGGAGACAGCTGATATCTCCTGGGGGCCCCCTGTACAATGTTTTTACAGCAACAGAAACTGCTGCAGTAAAGGAAGCCATGGAGGCAGCAAGAATGTTCATACAACACGATGCTGCACACACGCAGCAGCAGCAGCAGCAGCAGCAGCAGCAGCAGCAAGAAGGTGTCTGGTGGTCTAATGAGGCGTTGCCTGTGCTGCAGTTGCTGCTGCGAATGGAACTCCGCAGCATTTTGAGGAAAGAAGGCACAGAAGGCTGCTACTTAGCAGTAAACCCTAAACCCTAAACCCTAAACTGAAAACCCTAAACCCTAAACCCTAAACTGAAAACCCCAAACCCTAAAGTGTAAACTGAAGGTGTATACATCATGCGTTTTGTCTTTCTTTCTTCTCCTCCTACCGCCTGACTGCTTCTCGCTTCTGCTGTTGCTGCTGTTGCTGCTGCTGCTGCTGCTGCAGATTCGGCTGTGCGGGTCGGAGCCTCAGGTAGAGGTTGTGGGGCCTCGTCCTTCTCTGCTTTTTTTATTATTTGAATTGCGGCGTCTGCTGCGCCGAGCTGCCCCTTCTGCGGTGTATAGGCAGGTAAACAGACACCGCAGTTGCTGCTGCAGTAGAGGCAGCAAATTGCATTTGTTGCTGCAGCAGAGGGAGCAAATTGCGTTTGCTGCTGCGCTGCTTTGCCTTCAGATCTGTGTGGGGCCCAAGCCGACACAGCGGATGCTGATGCAGGTAGCAGCAGCAGCAGAAGCAGCTGCTGCTGTTGCTGCAGTTTGGAGGGACCAGCAGCAGCAGCAGCAGCAGCAGCAGCAGCAGCAGCAGCAGCAACAGCAACAGCAGCAGCTGGTGCTCTTGGGGTGGACCTCCCGCTCGCTGGAGGCAGCGGCAGCTGCAGCAGCAGCTGCTGCTGCTAAAGGAGATTCGGCTGCTGTTGCTGCTGACCCTGCAGCAGCAGAGCCCAAGGTGGTGCGTAGCGTAGACCCTGAAGATAGTACTCCGGGTTTAGGGTTTAGGGTTTAGGGTTTAGTGTTTAGGGTTTTGGGGGTTAGAGTTTAGGGTTTAGGGCTTACAGTTTAGTATGTGGTGCTTAGATTTAAGGGTTTAGGGCTTGTGCATGCAACGCCTAATGCCCTCGGAGCAAGGCTCGGGTTTAGGGTTTACGTTAGGGTTTAGGGTTTAGGGTTTAGGGTTTAGGGTTTAGGGTTTAGGGTTTAGGGTTTTGGGGTGTATGCGCAGTTTCCGTGGGAGTTTGTGCCTCCCGAATTGCGTTGGGGTTTTTCTCTGCTGCGATTTTTGCAAACCCCTGCGGGCGGCGAGCTGCGAGCAGCAGCAAAGTAAACCCTAAACCCTAAACCCTAAACCCTAAACTGCTAATGCTAGTAGCCCCCTGACGCCAAACCCTAAACCCTAAACCCTTCAGCTTGCTTTCTCTGCTTCTGACAACCTGTAGGCTGTTGTTGCTTTTTTTGCGGTGTCTCTGCTGCTTCTCGTGCTGTTGTGCTCTACCCATTAGGGTTTAGGGTTTAGGGTTTAGGGTTTGGGGTGTATGTGCAGGTATTATAAGGGGCGGTTGTTGGGTGGTTTTGCTGCTCCCCGTTTGGTTTGTTTGGACAGCCTTCGATTGCCTGCTGAGGAGACACTTCAATTAGTGCTGCTGCAGTTTGCTGCTGCAGTGTCTATACACCGCAGACCTCTCCCTTGGCAGGCTGCTGCTGCTCTCTCAGCCCAGGCCCTACACGAAGCCAACCTGCTGCTGCTGCAGCAGCACGAAGAGCAGCAGCAGCAGCAGCAGCAGCAGATGTGGGGTCAAGTTGCTACGGACGTTCCGACAGCAGCAGCAACTGCAGCAGCAGAAGCAACAGCAGCAGCTGCTGCTGCACCTGCTGCTGCTGCTATACCTTTACCTTCTCTTTCCTTTCCGCTGCTGACTGAGGCCTTTAAGAACTCCGCTGTAGCTTCTCTGTCTCCTCATCCTGGAGCAGCAGCAGCAGCAGCAGCAGCAGCAGCAGAGTCATGTGGGGTTGTGGGGCGACTGCCTTTGGCTGCACTTTCAGGTGTACAGGCAGAGGGATCCGATCCGCTGCTGCAGCTGCATGATTGCTGCAGCGTTGAAACAAAAGACAAAGAACAAGAAGACGAAGAGTTTGGTGTTGCTGCAGCACAACCGCCTGCTGATGTGCAGGATATGTGGCTGCTGCTGCCTCCGGGGGGAGGGCTCTCAGCTTCTGTCTTGGAGTTGCTGCTGCAGCTGCAGGAACAGCAGCAACAGCAGCAGCAACAGCAACAGCAGCAGCAGCACTATGCTTCATTAAGGAGAGACAACAGCATTTTGCTGCTTGATGCAGAGGCTTTTGGAGCCCCCAGATGCCCGTGGAAGGGGCTAATAGCTTCAGGCACTGCTGCTGCTGCAGCACCAGCAGCAGCAGCAGCAGCAGCAGCAGATGCAACCCCGTCTTCTGTGTCCAGCAGCGAGGATCCTGTTGAAGGCTGCGAGGTGCCGGGAGGGAACAAGACCAGCAGCAGCAGCAGCAACAGCAGCAACAACAGCAGCAACAACAGCAGCAGCAGCAGCAACACTGACAGCAGCAGCAACAGCAGCAGCAGCAGCAGCAGGGGGAATGCCGTTTCGGAGGTGTCTGGTGAAGACGTTGAGGGTTTGGGGGCTCATAGGAAGCAGCAAGGAAAGGGTTTGCAGCGCTTAGGGTTAGCGGTTTGTTTAGGGTTTGCCTGCAGCAGAAAAGAGAAGCTTTGTTCATCCTTCGGGTGTATGCATGAACGCCAGGCTGTAAACCTCTACAAGCAAATACTTGAGGCCTCATGCCCCACAGGTAACCCTAAACCCTAAACCCTAAACCCTAAATCAGCTCCTACCGGGGATCTACGGAGTGCACAGGCTAGGGTTTAGGGTTTAGGGTTTGGAAGCTGCGATACTCAACGTTAGCAAGTAGCACTCGGAGCTCTTAACGAGGGTTTAGTAGAGATTAGTGGGGTTTAGGGTTTAGGGTTTAGAGTTTAGGCTTTAGAGATTGAGGCATTGAGGGATCAGCGCCTAGGGTTCAGGGTTCAGGGTTTAGGGCTTAGTGTTTAGGGTTGAGGGATTTGCGCGTAGGGTCCAGGGTTCAGGGTTAGGGTTTAGGGTTTAGGGTTTAGGGTTTAGGGTTTAGGGTTTGCATGCAGGTGGAGCGATAACCGGGTTGCCTCCTTCTGTGTTTCTTTTCCCGTTTTGTTTGGGGGGCCGTTTGATTGGGCCTCGGGGAGAAAACCGCAGGAGACTGACAATGAGAACAAGAGCTTTTTCTGCTGTCATCAATGAAAAACTAAAGGCAGGGCTTAGGGTTTAGGGTTTAGGGTTTAGGGTTTAGGGGTGTGGGGTTCTGCGCTGAGAAAAAGCGGCGCTGTGCGGCTTCAAAGCGGCAGCGTACTGTTTACGACCTCGACCTTAGTGCTTAGGGTTTAGGGTTTAGGGTTTAGGGTTTAGGGTTTAGGGTTTGTGAGATCAGGGCCCCGATGGGCGGGAGTGGCGCCGGGTGTTGGTGGGGGGCCCCCTGGAGGTGCGGCTGAATATGGCAGCAGAAATATTTCGCTTGCTGCAGCTCAACTCTGATATTAATAATACTCCTAACTTCACAAAGACGGAGGCAAAGGCATTAGCAGCAGTAAACCCTAAACCCTAAACCCTAAAATATAAACCCTAGAGGGCGTGCAAAACGCCCAGTAACGCAATTCAGGCGGCGCTACAACCGTCAAGAGGGAAGAGTGGGGAGGGGCTAGGGTTTAGGGTTTAGGGTTTAGGGTTTAGGGTTTAGGGTTTAGGGTTTGCGGCTATTAGGATCCGACGGTCCCCCTGGCGCAGTGCCTGCACTTCCAAGCAATCAAGCAAACCCCTCAGCCCACCATTATCTCAGGTAAACCCTAAACCCTAAACCCTTTTTCTTGAGGAAGGCAGCAATCCTGATTCTTTATCATTGGGTTTAGGGTTTAGGGTTTAGGGTTTGCCCCCGGACAGTGGGTTTCGGGGGTTTAGAATATAAGGTTTCAGTTGGTTTCTGGAAGCGAAGCAGGGATTAGGGTTTAGGGTTTAGGGTTTAGGGTTTAGGGTTTAGGGTTTGTGGTTTGTGGTTTGCAGAGTCTTTTTGGCGGAGTTTAGTTTTTGCTGCTGAATGCAGTTGGCTGCAGCTGTCGGTGTCTCTCAGCATCAATGCTGCAGCAGCAACAGCAGCAGCAGTAGCAGCAGCAGAAGCGAAGCTGAAACAGCCTTTATCAGCAGCATTTAAACTTAGGGGTTTAGAGTTTGTCTCCTGCTCCCTTGAAAGCTCCTCAGCAGCTGCGCCTGTTGCTGGCGATGCTGCAGCAGCAGATACAGCAACAGCAACAGCTGCTGCTGCTGCTAGGTGTGTGGGGGCCCAGCTAGAACCTGCTGCAGCGAAGCAGCAGCTTGAGGTAGAGCTGCAGCTTAGAGGAAGCGCTCTGATTATTAACGCTGTTGGTTTTGCTGCAGCAGCAGAATTTGTCCGTCTGATTGGAGGAGAGGGATTCACTTGCCGCAACCCTGTGCAGTGGTTCTGCTGCAGCAGCAACAGCAGCAGCAGCAGCAACAGCAGCAGCAGCAGCAGCAGGAGTTGGGGTTTCAATGAAGACAGGTGGAAACGGCTGCCGAAGGCAGCAGAAGAACAGCTAAACGAAATTTGCTGCTCGCTTACTGCTGCAGCATTGCCTCTTGCTGCTATGCCTGCACCTCTTGCTGCTGCAGCAGCTGCAGCAGCAGCAGAAGCAGCTTTTACTGTTGGGGACACCCGCTATGTCGTCCAGACAGCTAATATTAAACGCATGCTGGAGGGAAGGGGAGACCCTTGGATAGAAGCGCAACCTGCAGTACACAGCAGCAGCAGCAGCAGCAGCAGCAGCAGCAGCAGCATACTGGTGTCCCGCATCAGTCTGCTGCCTACCGCCATTAGTTTGAGTAAACGGAATATTGAAGAGGGGCCCATTGGGTTTCTATAAACTTTCATTTCTAAGGGCATCGCCTTCTTCTGGCGCTCCCTTCTGTGTTGAAATTCGTCTGTCTTTGTTTGCTTGTCTTTGTTTGCTTGTCTTTGTTTGTTTATTTGCGTTTGTCTTTGCGCTCGTCTTTGTTTATTATATGCCTCCTTGCAAAATATTCTTAAGGCAATAATCGATATTAATTAATAGCTTATGTTTACTAAAACCCGTAATAATTAATATAAAAGTGAATAATAGTAATAATAATAATTTGATTAATAATAACAACGCTAATAATTAATATGTAACTAATTATTCAAATAGTTGTGCGCTCTACTTGCCAGAGAGGTATATAGCTATCTGCGTGTAAATAAATGTTAAGAGAGAATAATGCATGCTTTTGAGTGGCTGTATAAACATTTAATTTAATATTCCCTGAAAAAAAATAGAAAAAGTAAACGAAGTAGCAAAGCAAATAAAACAACAATACATCAAGAAACGCACAAGGTGCCTGTACACCGCAGATATGAACAGCGGATTCAAACCCGCGATCTCAGGTAAATTAGAGATAATTTCGCCTTCTTTTTTGTATAAATTGTTTTATTTGAGTTAAAGTTCTTCAGAATAGAAGCGAGAAAGACAAAATGAATGCCCCTACCACCCATATCCCTGCAAATTCAAGAAGCGTTAGAAAGTTGAAATGGGGCGGCCATTTCGCTTTTTCTTCGACTTGTTTGGCGACGGAGTGTCTACGGACGCGATTAACAGACGCAATTAATGGTATGTTCTTCAAAAAGTCAAAAAAACAACGAAAAAGCAATGAATTACATATTCGGTATTTCAGGAACTTGCACAGGTTTCTGCTGCCTAACAAGTTTGTTGATGGTGGGTTAAAAATGATTGAATTAACGAAATATTCATTTATTATTTCAAAACATTTAATAAATGTATGAATTTCAGAGGCCGGAGGTCCCCTTACTCGTCTTAACAGAGCAAGTTCCCTTGGATAAGGGCTGCATTGAGGTGGGCGACATATTATTGTGCGGATAAGGAGAAAAAGAATATCTGCCTTCGTTATGAACAGACTTTAACGGAAGAAGAAAGAGAAAAGTTTGAAGAATTTCTTCTTAAATGCCACAGACTCTCCAAGGGAAAGCCCCGAAAAAACACAACTTTCGACTTTGCAAATTCTGTTGATATCTTCAGAGCCAAGCGAGCACAGAAGCTGAAGTTTCTGCAGCAGCAGCAGCAATCTGAAAAGCCTGCTGCTAAGGCGGAGGGAAGAGAAGACAGCCAAAAGACGAAGAAGGAAAAGCTTAGGGAAGCAGAACAGAGAAAAAGATGTCTCACCGGCACAGCTCTTTTGCAGCAGCCTCAGGCAGAGGAGTTAGTATTAAACAATCAAGATAAAGAAAACATTGAAGAAGATAAAAGAGAGAAACAAACGAAGAAGCAGACACACACGGAAACTGCTGCAGCAAGTGAAGAGAAATGCAACACCACAGCAGAAACTCAACCCCCAGAAGAAAGCGCAGAGAAAACTGCTCCAGCAGCAGAAGCTGCAGCTGCAGCACCAGCAGAGGGAGCTGAAGCAGCAGCAGCAGCAGCAGCAGCAGCAGAGGGAGCTGAGGCAGCAGAAGCTGCAGTAGAGGGAGCAGAAGTAGCAGAAGCTGCAGCAGAAGGACATGTAGCAGCAGAAGCTGCAGCAACAGAAGCTGCAGCAGAGCGAGCTCAACCAGAAGAAGCTGCAGCAGGAGAAGCTGCAGTAGAGGGACATGCAGCAGCAGAATCTACAGCAGAGAAAGAGAAAGGCACTGAAGTTGAGAGCAAACCAAAGGCAGCACAAAGAGAAGAAGAAGAAGAATTAAATTCTGCTTCAGAAGAAATACAACAGACAGAGAGTAACAGAAAAGAAGACAAAGAAGAGAAAGAAAAAACGAAGAAGAGAAAACACCAAGGAAAAACACTAAAAAAGAAAAACAGCAAATACCCGAAGGAGAAATATGCAGAAAAAGAAAAGACGAAGGCGCTCTCAGAGAATATTCAAACGCAGAAAGAAATGCATTTAGAGTTGCAAGAAGAAAAGAAAGAAATAAACAAGTAAGAGAATATGTAAATAAAAAAATAAAATAAAACAAAGTAAACTAAACTAAGATAAAACAAAATAAATTATCTTCACCAAAAGAAAAGCAATTATACAATCCTTCAGGGAAATGCTGAAGAAAGAGAAGAAAGAAGAAGAAAAAGAAAAAAGAAGAAACACAAATGAAGAAATCAAAGAAATTAGCAAGAAAAAACGCAAAGGTAAGAATATGAAGGAGACAGAAATAAAAACAAAGGCAGCAGCACAACAGAGCAAACCTGAATAATAAACAATTTGTAAATAGTCATTTATTTTATTTTTATTTTATTTTATTTTCTCTTTTGCAGCCGCTGCTGTCCCTCTGTCGAAGCAAAAGGAGAAGAAGAGAATCTGCAGCTCCGTTTGCGGTGTGTCTTGCCAGTTAATTGTTTGTTTATATTCATATATATTTATTATTACAATTATATATATTATTTGGTTTATAAAGATATTAAAACGCAATTAATATTATACGTCTTGTATTATGTCTTTATTCAAACAGAAGAAGACGGAAGAAAAAAAGGAGAAAATAAAAATGCAGAAAGCAGAAAAAAAAGGCCGCAGCAAAAACTCGAAAAGGAGGTGAGAGGCTTTGAAGTAGCAAACGCATTATTTCTATCTTTTTAATATTTATTTATATCTATTTATTGCATTCTTTTATACGTATTTATTTGACTACTGAATATACCTATTTATTACTTTGCTGTATATCTATTTGCTTATTTATATTGCAATTCTTTTACTTATTCTTTCGCTGCTGCAGCAACAAGAATTCGACGCAGTATTACACTGCAATGGAGGAAGAAGGTCTTGCGTTGCCTTACAAAATATTCTCTCAATGTCTTAACTTCATTTCTTTTCTTTTCTTTTCTATTCGTTTCCTGCTGCATGCAGCAGCAGATTTATGCCTGCAAAGCCAGCAGCACCATCTGCTCCTGGCATCAAGCACCCACTCTAAACCCTAAGCCCTAAACCCTAAACCCTGAGGTTTGTTGCGAGCAGTCCTTCGACGGTTCTTTCTTTTCAGAGAAAACAAAATTAGGCAGACAAGAAAAGTTTCGTTTGAAATTTGAGTTTTACTTCAAGAACAAACATTAAAAAGAAAAAAGAGGCAAAAACGGCTGTAGAGAAATTAAAAATACCGTAGCAGAAGAAAACCAACAGAGTGGAGTAAGAAATGTTGCAGCGGGCACGAGAAAAAACAGAAGGTAATATATATAGGGAGAAAAGAAGAGAAGAAATTCTTCTCTTTGTTTTCTCTACTAACCCCCATGAAGCGTTGAAATAAAGGTAATTACATCTTTATCTTTTATTTCCGTTTCCTGCCCCTTTAAAACTTCGATGTCTGTTTCGTTGATTAGACAAAGAACGCCTCCTCGCACTGTCATACATCCTTGCAGGAGTTCTTTAGTAGAATAGACCTTTTTAATGCCGTTTCCTCCATTTAATTCCTCATTTATAGACGAAGATTCCGCAGAAATACCCACTCGTTGATCCTCCTCGAGCTGCCTATACACCTCAGCATCTTGGGGTGTATAGGCAGTTGCGAAGAGTTCCGGTTTTGCAGAAATCACATGATGCGCCACAAATGAAACAACATGAAATAAACGAATTCTTTCAGATTTCTCTGAGAAAGAAACTGTAATACTTTTCTTTTCCCCTTTCACCAACTGCTCCAGGCCTCCTGCGAATTCCAGCGTAATTTCCATTTCTTCTTTTCTTTTTCTTTTTCTCTCTCGACAGAGGGTTATTCAAAGAGGAAGAAGGAAGCAGGCAGAAGAATATATGAAATAAACCCTCAAAAAAGGTAAATTAAAAGCAAAAAATCAACCCACAGAATAACGGAGAATCTTTAAAGAAAAAAACCCAAAACAAATTGCTTTCTAAGATGAATTAAAAACTGCCTTTGGTGTTGTGCAGACAGAAATAAAGCAGCATGGAGGTGAAAAAGACCCTTATTTCTCTCTTTAAATAATACTCAAAGAGAATAAACTCTCAAATAATTTAATTAATAAGCACAAAAGATTCATCTTCCCTACAAACCAATCAGAAGTAAGGAAGGGTTTATACCCAATGAGGGGCCCCCGAGCATCGTGGGGCCCCCTGAGCGTAGAAGAGAACCGGCACATAATATATAGTCCTAAGACAGTTATAAACTAAAAAGAAAGAGGAAAAGAACACTAAATAACTTTGTTTTTTAATTATATGCATTTAGGTGTATGTCTGCTTTGCTTTTGAAGCGCTCCTCGCACTCCACCCTAAACCCTAAACCCTGTCTGAACCTTGCACCCTGAGCTTTAAACCGTAAGCAACAGACACCCTATACTGGCTAGCTTCATGTAGCTAGCTATCCACCGCTAGCTAGCTAGCTATCTATTACGTGAGTAGTAAAGACAGCCCCAAGGCGTACAGCGATTCGTCGATAAGAAGAGACAAACAACAAAAACACCCACAGCCACCCCACAAGTGCTGCTACAGCTGTGCATACACCTGAATACCTTAGCCTCAAAGGAAGTAATTAAACTGCAGCAGCAGATATAATATGAAAGCAACAGAAGCAGCACTACACCAGCAGCAGAAGCAGCACTACACCAGCAGCAGCAGCAGCAATAACAGAAACTCCGCAGCAGCAGCAGTAGCAATAATAGTATCTGCAGCAGCCATTTCAACCCCAGCAGCAACAGCAACCCAGCAATAGTAGCAACAGCGCCAACTAGGAAATATGCATATACATCTAAATAACTAAAATAAATAAATAAATATACATATATATACATATATTTCTATTCAGGGGAGCTGCATCTCTAGCAGCACCCCCGGCCAAAATGTATTTAACGTACATCAAAACTAAGGGCAAGCAGAAGGCCCGTCAGGTGTATGCACACCTCTGAACTGTATGCACACCTCTGAGGTGTATGTGCACCCCTGAGGTGTATATGCATTCCTGATCCTGAGGTGTACGCCTATCTGAGGTGTATGTACATACAGCTGAGGTGTATGTACACCTGAAATGTGTGCACCTCTGAGGTGTATGCCTATCTGAGGTGTGTGTACACCTGAAATGTATGTACATCCCTGAGGTGTATATACACCTGTGAGGTGTATGCACACCTCTGAGGTGAACATACACCTCAGCCTTCTGCCGCCAGCCCCCATTTCTTTTTTTTTGTGGTTTCGAAGTTTGTTTCCTCTTTTATTTTTTCAATTGGGCGAACTGCCCCTGGGCCTTCTGCAAATTCAACGCGGCGTCGAGCGAAGGGGCTTTCATGTTGCTGCTGTTGCTGCTGCTGCTGCAGCAACAAGAGCTGCTGCTGTTGCTGCTGCTGCAGCATCTGCTGTTGCTGTTGCTGCTGCTGCTGCTTTGACGTGTATCTGAAGATACGCGAGAAACCCTTGGAAGCGTTCTTGGGGGAAGCTGTTGCTGCTGCTGCTGCTTCAGCAGCAGCACCAGTTTGCTGCTGCTGCAGCAGCAGTTCTCCCTCAGCATTCGCTCCTGCTGCAGCAGCAGCACTGCTGGGTCCAGCTGCTGCTGCTTTATCTAACAGCCGCTGCAGCAGAGGAGGTATGGGTGAGACTGTAGTCATTTGCTGCTGCTTCTTTTTCTTGTAGCAGCAGCACTTTACAAGAGAAAAAACAAACGCTAAAAGAAAAGCCCCCAGCAGCAGAAACTCAAAAATGTGCCACCGAAAGATAGGCCTGAAACACAAACCCTAAACCCTAAACCCTAAACCCTAAAACCATCAACCCTAAACCCTAAACCCTAGTCCGTATACCATCAACCTTAAACCCCAAACCCGTAAACCCTAGCCCCTAAACCCTCAACCCTAAAGCGTAAAGCGTATAGATAAGTTGTCAGCGCTGCAACGGAGACAAAACAGAGAAAAAGAAAACGAAAAGTTGAGGTGTATGTACACTGCAATTACCCGAAAAAACGCAGATGTCTGAACTCAACGCCAAAGCACAGCGCAGCCTCCGTCCCCCGCGCGTATTCGCTGAAGGAATTCTAAAAACAAACAAACAAATAAATAAATAAATAAATAAATAAATAAATAAATAAATAATTAATAAATAAATAAATAAATAAATAAATAAATAAATAATAAACATTTCGGCGAGGGGAAATAAACAATTTATTGACAACGCGCCTCGTGCCCTTAAACCCTAAACCCTAAACTCTAAACCCTAAACCCTAAACCCTAAACCCTAAACCCTAAACCCTAAACCCTTACGTAGGAGAAGAGGACAGCCCCGCAAGAAGAAATGCAGATGAGGCCGACATTAAACAAAAGGGAGTTTAAACGCGTGGCGTCGCGCTTGAGGGGGTGGATGGAGAAACAACAAAACAACTGCATCGCACAAACCCTAAACCCTAAACCCTAAACCCTAAACCCTAAACCCTATACCCTAAACGTTAAACCCTGGCCACACCATCCGCGTGCTAAGGACTCAAAACCCTCTACTCCAATCCGCACAACGATGAACCTGCACTGAGGGTTTGCGCCCAAGGGTTTAGGGTTTAGGGTTTAGGGTTTAGGGTTTAGGGTTTATACCCTCATTCCGACGGCAAAACATCCCTTCAAAACACAAAGCAGAAAATATAAGACCAAAACAAAATAAATCAACAGCCCAACCAACGCAGCCTGATGCCCCGCCAGAAACTGCAGCACAACACAGCAGCAGCAGCAGCAGCGACAAACAACAGCAGCAGCAGCAAACAGCAGCAGCAGCAGCAGGCATTATCGCGAGGTGGAGACAAGGAAAGGTCTAACGTAGCTACGCACCACCGAAGAATACCCTTTCTAGGCAAACAACGGAGCTAGCTAGCTAGCTAGCTAGCTAGCTAGCCAGCTAGCTTGCTAGGTATATACGTAGAGAGATGGGTAGCTGCCTAGCTAACTAGCTAGCTAGGCAGCTATCTACGTAGACAGCAGGCTAGCTAGCCAGCTAGCTAGATATATAGCTAGGTAGCTAACCAGCTAGCTAGCTAGCCAGGGAAGCTAGCTAGCTAGCTAGCTAGCTAGCTAGGGATTAGAGTGTGGCGGGTACCTGCAGCAACCCATCGATGAATGTAAAACCCTCTTTTGCGGTTTTGTTTAAAATCAGCGGCAGAACAAACACGAAAAAGATTTGCGCAAGCCAAAGAGCAGACAAGAGAGCAGCAAGACAGCCGAAAGAGATAGAGATGCAGCGGCGCAGCAAATGCTGCTGCTGCTGCTGCTGCTTCACCAGCTGTCTGTACTCCGTCTCCAGTACATGTACAGCCAACTTAAAACAACGTTGCTGCTGCTGCTGCTGCTGCTGCTGCTGCTGCTGACGCCAGTAACGACCGATACCCCAACCCACCTTCCCGCCCCCTCCTTTGCTGCTGCTGCTGCTGCTGCTGCTGCTGCCTGCTGCTGACGACGTCCCCTTTTGTGCCTGCTGCTGTTGCTGCTGCTGCAGCTGCTGCTGCTGCTGCTGCAGCAGCAAAGAACCCACTGCGTGCAGCTTGTGAGCCTTCGCACCCAATTCACGCCGCAGCTCACTGCAACCGCAACAGCAAACCCTAAACCCTAAACCCTAAACCCTAAACCCTAAACCCTAAACCCTAAACCCTATACCCTATACCCTCAACCCTGTGCATCGGGAAACAAGCCCTCGCCGAGGGGTCTGTACAATAGACAGAAAACACTCTCCGTCCTAAACCCTAAACCCCAAACCCTAAACCCTAAACCCTAAACCCTAAACCCTAAACCCTAAACCCTAAACCCTCGGGTCTCACTGGAACTCGGGCAAGGAGAGTGGTTTAGCGTTTTGTTTGAAGCTTGCGAGAAGAGCAGCAGGCAGAGTATACAGCCCTACTCCGGCGAAGCAAGACGATGAGATGCTTCCGAATAGACACAAGACAGCCATCAAATACACTGAAAAGCTCGCTCGCAGCTGCACTTGCTGCTCCGCACTGCTGCTGCTGCTGCTGCTGCTGCTGCTGCTGCCGTCGGAGTTGAGGATCGTCTCACAAAACACCCGCATCCAGTCCGGTTGATCTGCGCAGTAACAACGCGAGGGTTTAGGGTTTTCGGTTTTTAAGGGTTTAGGGTTTTCCTAGGGTTTAGGGTTTTTAAGGGTTTAGCGAGGGTTTGAACTGAGCAGAAGGCGTACAGTTGCGGTTTTCTTACTCCCTAAACCCTCGGCTGTTGGTGTTTAGGGTTTAGGGTTTTGAGGGTTTAGGGTTACTAGGGTTTCGAGTTCGCTAGGGTTTAGGGTTTAGGGTTTAGGGTTTACTGGAGGGTACGACTTGTGCACAAATGCCCTCATCTAGCGTGAGGCTAAGGGAGCGGAAGAAAAGAAAGCAAACAGCAACAGCAGCAGCAGCAGCAATAACGAAACCCGCAGTATAGGAGAGAGCAGCTAAAAAGGGTTTAGGGTTTAGGGTTTTAGATAAACGAGGGTCTGTATCGGACTCGTAGTAAAATACAGCAAAAGGAAATATAAAAAATAAAAATAAAAACACAAACCAAAATACACAACGCCAGTACACCCGCATATCAAGCCCTAAACACACACACAGGCAACAAACCCTAAACCCTAAACCCTAAACCCTAAACCGTAGACCCTAGACCGCAGACCCTAGACCGTAGACCCTATACCCTATATCCTAAACCCGAGACCCTAAACCCTCCTCTTTCCTTATCCTTCCTCCAGGATAAGAAACCCGTGTTATTTGCTCCGTTAGGGTTTAGGGTTTAGGGTTTAGGGTTTAGGGTGAGGGATTCTTCATACTATTGCTGTCTGTTGAAAGTGTTTACTATTATTGTTTGTTATTATTTACTATTATTGTCTAGGATTAGTGTTGATCCGTATGGCTTTCGATTAGGGTTTAGAGTTTAGTGTTAGGGTTTAGGGTTTAGGGTTTAGGGTTTAGGGTACCTGCGGTGTTGGGGGGTGTTGCAAGGGGTGAGTGCAGATTATAAACATCTAAAGGCAGGCCGAGCAGCAGCAGCCAAACCAACTCAAAGCCAAACAAGAACGCAGCTTTCGCTACTGCTTCCTGCGCCGCAAACAACAAACATACTTAGCTAGCTAGCTAGCTAGCTAAAGGGATAAGTAGCTAGCTGGATAGGTAGCCAGTAGATGCAGATAGCTAGCTAGTAAATGCATCAAGCTAGCTGGGTAGGTAGCTAGAAGATCCAGCTAGCTAGCTAGCTAGCTAGCTAGCTGGATAGGTAGCTAGGTGGCTAGCTAGTAGATGCAGCTACCCATATAGATGGAGCGCTAGCTAGTTAGCTAGCTATAAGAAGGGCTGGCTAGCTAGCTAGCTAGATAAAGGGCTAGCTGGCTAGCTAGATAAAGGCTAGCTAGCTAGCTAGCTAGCTAGCTAATTCGTAGTACCTGGGCTGAGAGTCCGCTGTCATCTCGGTGCTCGAAGAAATATAAAATGCGCAGATCGCCCAACAAACAAACAAAAAAATAAAAAATCAAAAAAATCAAAGCCAGCCAATCCATCCCTGCATGCACACAAACAGCTGCTGCTGCTGCTGATGCTGCTGCTGCTGCTGATGCTGCTGCTGCTGATGCTGCTGATGCTGCTGATGCTGCTGCTGCTGCTGATGCTGCTGCTGCTGCTGATGATGATGCTGCTGCTGATGATGATGCTGCTGCTGCTGCTGCTGCTCCCGTGAATGCTGCTGCTGTTAATGCTGCTGGTGTTAATGCTGCTGTTGTTAATTCTGCTGCTGCTGCTGCTGCTGAAGGGGCACAGCTTTGCTGCAAGAGGCTTACCGCCAAATAGATACGATTAGAGTAGCGGGGAAACCCTAAACCCTAAACCCTAAACCCTAAACCCTTGTTGATGGGCGTCAATGATGTTGCTTGGTGCGGTCAAATTCTGTTGTTGCTGCTCCTGTTGCCGCTGCTGCTGCTGCTGCTGCCGCTGCTGCTCTTCTGCAGCTAGCCCTTGCAGCCCAGTTTGAGAAGAAAGCGGCAGCAGTTACTTCAAGGGGCATCCCCCCTCATACTGCTGCAGCGGAATCTGCTGCTGCTGCTGCTGCTGCTGCTGCTGCGTTGAGTGCCGTTGTTCATGCCTTAGCTCTTGCAGCTCCTTCTGCTGCTTCTGCTGCTGCTGCTGCTGCTAAAAGTAGGGCTGTTAGCATGCATCAGTATCGTTATGAGAGAGTCTAAAAGAGATGCAGCAGCAGCAGCAGCAGCAGCGGCTATAGCTGCCGCGCA